TTTATTAAAGTTGACAGCAAAAGAAAGAAAATATGCCAAAAATTAAATAAGACTTCAATTCACATTAAGTGTATATTAGCCAATAATTTGTGTTCGCGATTTTTGTTATCATGAGAAAACTATTGATCGTGTCAATTCAGAGACGAGATATCTTGTTGACTAAAGGGAGGTAAAGCTCGAAAAGTTATTGTCTAGAACATCAACTCACGATATTATGATAATACCATAGAATTTATTAAAAAAATGTGACAGAATCATCTAGAATCAAACGCTTCGAGCCATCTCCAACAAATATTCATGACACTCAAAATCTGAAGGCAGAAGATGACTGTTTGCACAAGTTAGTCGCAACCAGCTTATAATTAGATGGGAAAAAATTAAATTATAATATGATGTATTAAGCAATTATCATATCATTTATGGAAGAGGTAACATAATTAATTAATTAATTAATTATATATGCTCGCCAACAAAGACACCCTTCTTAATAATTAGATCAATTATGGGATTAAGATAATAATTTAATTAGGTAGAGGAATAAAATTTGAAACTATTGAAAAAGAGAGATTTGTTTCTTACACTAATTTTGTATTCTCATTTAAGTCTAGTGCTTTGTGTGGAATCAATTGCCTCAATAATTAAAAAAAGAAAAAACTTTCAACAAAATATTTTCCAACTTACGGACCCACAATTGACCAAAAATTGAACCATACCCTTAACTATATAAATCACACATTTTCCAATAAAGCCTTATTTGTTTCTTCATTAAAATGAAAAATATGATCGTTATCCATCACATCGAGCCACCAAATTTAAATTTCTATATCTTGTGTGAGGCTCATAACGGCTATATTTTTCATTCTCATTTTTACGTTAATGTGTACCAAACAGTTCCAATATAATATATTTTCAGCCCCATTAAATCTATTATACATTTTTCTCTCTCTTATTTTTAATCACACATTCTGCAATAAATGATATTATACATAAACCAAAAAATTTTGCTGCTTTTTTAACTACACATTCTCCAAAAAAATGTATTCCAAAAATTATAACATCAAATAATGGG